TTCTAGAGATCCTAACTAGGGTTTTCGTGTTGAAAGCAAGCACTTTACGTACTGAGACATCTTGCAAGTCTTCCTTCAATATTTGTGCTCATTGCCCAAATCAAGTCACCTGGCTTATGTGACAGTAACAGGGAAATTAAATAATTTTTTCCTAGAAAGGATATTAAATATGTGAAAAGTCAACATAGCAAAGTGTGTCTTGATTCTCCTTTCTCAAGATATACTCACCACTGGAGCGACCTGAAACCCCCTGCCATTTTGTCATTATTTCTAACTCAAAGTCTATAATCTACCAAAGATGTTATAGACTTTTCTCTTCTTTCCCTTTTCACTTCTTTCTTTGCTTTTTTCCTCATTTTCTCTCTTCTTTTTTTCCCAGTGACTGGGGGGTGGGGGGTGGGGAGAGAACTCAGGCCCTAAAGCACACTAGACAAATGCTGTAGCAGTGAGCTATGTTCCCAATCCAATACTGTTGATTTCTTTTTCCTAAGCCTATGATTGATCTATGGTTTAACAATGACTTCCTTTACTCTAAAAAACCCAAACTTCAATAGTGGAACAGAGACTGGATTATTACAGTGTATGACCCTATTCAGCAAGAGAATGGGAACTATATACTGGTATTGGAATGTCACTGGGTAGAAGTTGCTAGTGAGTGAAGACAGGAGATTTTCTTTGACTAGGCCCTAATTTTGTCAGCAGGATGATTTCTAGTCTACTCTTCCTGGTTCTTGGCTTAAATTTATTAAGAAGTTCATTAGAGAATATGGCATAAGCATATCTTTACACCTGTTTCTTACTTCCAGAATATCATTTCACATCTCAGAGTTTTAAAACTGAAGGCTAATAGTTCTTTCAGCAATGTGTAGTCTACTTCTCTTCTATTTGATTCCAGTCAACTTACTGCAATGGCAGCACTTGTAATTCTTTTTGAGACATACTATGCTGCATTCACAAACCACTAATCACAAATACGGTAACTTGAAACAATAAAAATTTATTTTCCATGAGCAATTAATGTCCACCACAGGTAACAAAGGCTCTTTTCCAAACACCTTTTGCTCTAACACCCAAGCTGATAGAGCAGTTATCTAGAACATTGGTTAATCTTGTGTTGGAGAAAAGAGTACACATACTACACATGAGAGCCAAAAGCTCTGCCTGTGTGTGACACATGTATTCCTCACATTTCATTTACTACTAAAGCAAGTCATCTTATCAACTGTAGTGTTAATGAGGTCACTAAATGCCTTTTCCTTTTAAGGAGAGGCAGGAGGAATCAATATGTAATACACTCTACTACATACACAATTCCTACTTCTGAAACTCACATTGAATTTTTGCAATGTCTCCACTTCCATGGCTTTTCTACATTGTCACATCTACTCTACCCAACCATGCTTGACATATAAGCCACATACTCTTGCCTCTAACTTTAATACACAAAATATAAATTTTTACAATTTGGCACATTGGTTACTATTTTGCAAAATTTATATTCTGTAATTCTGTTTTGTTAACATTTTCAAAGGCATCACTTGGCTGTCTATATTATTGTTATTTCTTTTCTTTTCTTTTCTTTCCTTTTCTTTTCTTATTTTTTGTCTTTTTGACACAGGGTCTTCCTGTAGAACCAGGTGGCCTGGAACTCGCTATGTAGATCAGACTGGCCTTGAACTCACAGAGATCCGCCTGCCTCTGCCTCCCCGGTGCTGGGACTAAAGGCATGCACCACCATGCCCAGCTTCCTATTATTGTTATTTCTAAGGAACTAGGCCAATGGTTAAAAAAGCAGGTTCCTGAATTTTACTTTCTTCTAAATAATGGTATTCTTGTGTATCTACTTACTTTTTATCACCAACATTCATCATTCCAAATAAAATATTCAAGAAAAGATCTCCTTAACATAATTTCTTTGCTGACAGTCTAGCTATTCTTACCGCTATTAAGTTCCTTTCTTTACATCTGAATACTTTCTGTGCCTTAACACTCCTTACCATAGTATATCCAGTATCAGCGAGGTCATTACTCTGTCTCTGGTCTCATTTTTCTCTCCTTTGTGATGGATCAGGGATATAGGCTTCCTCTGAGTCTTTTTCTATTGCTGTTTTTAATAATTACATAACAGTCTCTCTTGATAACTATAATGTTCTTGCCTAGATCTTCAACATGTTACCTCCTTCTTTTCATTTAGGTTTCAACTCAGATATCCTCAGAGAGCTCTTCCTTTGTCCACTTTAGCAAAAGTAACCTTCTTTCCTTTGATCTCTCCAACCTTGTTTTCTTTTCTTTTTTCTTTTTTTTATTTATTTTATTTATTTATTTATTTTGGTCTTTTTGAGACAGGGTCTCCTGTAGTCCCAGTTGGCCTGGAACACACTATGTAGATGGAGCTCAGAGCTGGCCTTGAACTCACAGAGATCTGCCTGCCTATGCCTCCCAACTGCTGGGATCAAAGGCATGTGCCACCACACCAGGCTTTCTCCCACATCATTTTCACTGCCTATTTATTTATTTATTTATTTATTTATTTATGGAGTGGGGCTGAAGGGGTTTGTTTATCTTACAGCGTCTGGATCACAGTTCATCAATGAGGGAGCCCAAGGTAGGAACTCAGGGCAGGAACCTAGAGGTAGGAGCTGAAGTACAGGCTGTGGAGGAATGCTGCTTACTGGTTTGGTTCCCTGGCCTGTGCTTGACCTGTTTTTCTATACAATACAGGCCCACCTGCCCAGGAATGGCACCACCCACTGTGGGCTGGGCCCTACCACATCACTCAACAATCAAGAAAATGCCCACAGACATGGCCACGGGACAGTCCAATGGAGATGATTCCCCAGTTAAGGCTCTCTCTACCCAGGTGTGTCAAGTTGACAACTAAAGTTATCCAGCACGATATGAAAAGGAAATATCACAGTGAAATGTATTATGTATAAATAATACACATAATAAAAATAAAATATTTCACATCCTGACATTTTTCAATGTGTTGTGGGGGTAGGTGCTGAAGGTTGAGTTTCAGGACTTGTATATGTTAGGCAAGGTTCACGCCCCTTTTATTAGTTTACCTACCTATAACTATCTAAAGTTATGTTTATGACCTGCCTTTTCTAATCAGCATGGTAGGTCTGTTAGGTCACAATAATTTTCTTCTATGCTGCTGTATTTCTAGAAGTTGAAGGCTGTGCATGGTGGCATAGGCCTGTAATCCCAGGTCTTGGGAGGGTGAGGCAAGATCTTGAGTTAGAGGCTAGCCAGGGTTACATAGTGAGATCTTATCTTAAAACATAACAAAAGCAAAAGAGACAGTACTGGTGAAGAGTAGGTACTTAGTAAAGATTTGCTAAATGAATTTAAAAACCATGCCAGCCTTTACATTCATAAGCTTCATGATATGTTATCTATTGTTTGCCCTCCTGGCTCCTCTCTCCTCTTGCAAGCATTTCATGTTGGGATTCCTTTGGTGCTTTCTCTTTTCTCATTTAGTCTTCTTCTAAACTAGCCAGTCATACTGCTCATTTCCCTTCATTCAACTGACTCCTGAATTTATTTTTCTAGTCTAGACCTTTATTCTGTCCTCTAGAAATTCAACAGGTTTTACACAGACATTTGTTCATTCTTTCAATGATTGGCATGAAAATCTCACATCTAGTGACCGCTGAACCTCTGAGATTATTCTCAAGTCTTCTTTTCTTCACTGGCATACCCAACCAGCAAGTTCTGTTTGGTACCACCTATATTTCTCTGGGATTTTTTTCCCCCCATCATTACATTCCCTACATTAATCCAATTTACAGTTCTCGCACATGACTATTGCAATAACCCCTTGACAGCTCTCATCTTTCATGCTTTTCCTTCTTTTAGATTCTTCGTAGAAAAATGAATCCTTTTCAACCATAGATTCTTGGTGAGCTTCCAAAATCACTGAGCATAAAGCGCATGTGTAAGTGGTCTCTGGCTCAGCAGTGGTCCCTTACCTTGCCCTCCCTCTTCAAATTCCAGCCATGCCAGGCTTCCAGCACATCAGCAGTTCTTAGCTTCAGACTTTCACTTATATTATGTTTGTCCCGAAACTTTCGTTTGGCTAATGCCTACCTCTCCCTTCAAGCTTAATGGAACTTTTTTGGTGGAACTGTCTCCTACTCTTAATTTTCGTTACTCAAATGTTTTAAGATACCTAGGGGGTTGGGAGGCGTTGAAATTGCTGGTTGTAATCCCCAAAAGTCCCATAAAACCCTGTCCCAAGGCAGACTTTGGGGTAAAAATAAATTTAAAGAGACATAAACGGAATTGAATTAGGGTAGTAAAGGTTATGTGTAGGAGCACAAGCACTGAAAATACTTTTAGGGATGCAATTTCTGGATTAGGAAGGGATGTGGCCAAAGTTGTTTGGGGTTACGAATCTTTAAGAGTGCCAAGGTCTGCAGGGTCTAGAGAGCACACTGACGAGACTTCGGCCATCTTTCAGTCATTTGTTTGTTTTTAACTTCTGCTCCTAGGCGACCGTGAAAGACAGGAAGCATCTGCAGTCCAAACCCACAGCCACTGACCTCGGCGGCTAGAGACTCGACCTGCCCTGGAGGCGACCGGCGCCGAGCCACTGGAAGCGCCCCGCAACTCCCACAGCAGACGTCTGGGCAGCCCGGCGCGCGCCCGGCACGCGCGCCCCCATGCGCGTCTGCGCGCAGCCCCAGCCCAGAGGCGCCGCAGTAGAGGACGCGTCCCACGGAGCGCGCAGCCCGCCGTCCTCCGGCCCACCCCGTCTCCACACGTGGCCTCCCAAAGATGTGCCCGCCTCGGCAGTCGCTGAGTTCTGATTTTTACGCAGAAACATACACATCCGAAGGATGTGTCGTGGATGAATGAAGGATGATGGTCTTGCCAAAAGGAGGGCGGCGGTCAGGCCAGGTTAGGACGGACGCGTGGAGGCTGGATTCACGAAGGCACTGCGGAGGACAGCCGCATCCGGGCTCTCCTGCCGCAGGCTGCCCTCCGAGCCAGGGGTCCTTCAGGTAGGAGGTACTGGGTGACTTTGGACGTCCGCTCAGCCTGTTTGTGGAAGGTGCTCAGTGCGCTGTCCTAGGTTCGTTCCGGTGAGTCTTTGACGAAGGCCCCTGCAGCAAACATGATCCGCCAGATCTTCGGTCAGGCCAAGAAGCATCCAAGCGTAAGTTCATGACCTTCCCCGTGTGGCTCTTGTGGTGCGTCTGTTTCTGTCCCCTGGGAACGTCCTGTTTTCACACTCCCTTGGGGCTACAGTCTGCCTCCCGCATTCTGTTGTCCTGGTTGCCCGAAGCCTTTATCTATGACTGTCTATCCTGTGCATTGTGGAATTTGGGTTGGGGTCCAAGGTGATGGACACCAGCAACGAAGGTAAACTTTCCGAGTGTGGGAACTCTATGGTCGCCCCTCTCCCAGATTAATAGCTCCAGGAGGCCTGGGTGGTACGCTGAGTGTGTTAGACTACAAGAAAGGTCAGATTTGTTAAGGCGCCTCGGGAGCTTTTATAAGCACCCTCATTGCACCACCACGCCTTCTGCGTTGTTAGGGGTTCTTGATCTTGAGCCTCACTTTATCTGGACACCTTGACATTTGCAGAATTTATTTGATTTTTTAAAACTTCTCATTTAGTACAGCTGTGATCCTAAAACTCATTTATACAATCCTTAATCTTTGTCTTAAGCTTAGTTTCTTAAATACTTAACAAAATTAATAGCAGTGGTTCTCCAGAGTTCATTTCTAAAACTGGTATTTGTAATAGACATTTCTGTCTGCTTTTTACTGTCTTTATTTAGAGATTGTGTTTTTCGTAGACCTGATTGTAGGTATTCTTGAGTAGTTTTCAGAGGGCTTCCCCTCCTCCCAACCTTTACATAAAAGAAGCAATTAAATTTAATGGGAACGCTGTTTAGGTGTCACACAGGTGAATGAGACTTGGTAGTTAATTTTTTTTTTTTAATTAAAAGGTTTCCATATAATTTGCTCCACATTAGGAAATCAGCTCTTACACCACAGTCATCTTAACATCATTTGCAGATTCCATGCCTTTAGAATATAAGAAATCTTGCTTCACTAAGATCTACTTTTATTCACATTTTAAGGCAAGTTAGCAACACTGTAGCCTCATTTGGCCAATATCAAGGAATTTGACCATGGCTATTAATTTTTCTCTATACTCTGCTTGACTCTAGTTGATTCCCCTCTTCGTGTTTATTGGAGCAGGAGGTACTGGAGCAGCTCTCTATGTGCTCCGTCTGGCAATGTTCAATCCAGATGTCAGGTAAGTCTTGATAATGTTTAAAACTTTAGATGGTTTATGAGGCTGGCCTAGGGCAGTCTTTCTGAAAGAGATAATGTAGAAAGAACTTCATGTTTGTAGCCATGCAGTGAGTTCCAGCACTTGTTGACATTTACTTTTCTTGGTAAATGAAATTATCTAAATCCATTGAGGTTTTCTTTTTTCTTTTTCTTTCTTTTTATTTTTTTATTTTTTGGAGAACAGGGTCTCACCAGGTAGCCCTGGCTAGGCTGAAACTATATGGACCAAGTTGTCCTGGAACACAGAGATCTGCCTGCCTCTGCCTCTTGAGTGCTAGGATTAAAGGCGTGCACCACCACGCCCTGCAAGTTTCATTTTATTGTTGGTAAAGTAGAATTGCTAATACCAAGTCTTACAATGTTTTGAAAATTGGGCCAATGATATTTTTTAATGAAATACGTAAACATGATTCCTAGTATATGTGAATGTTTTTCTCCTTTTCCACAATAAGCAATGATTCTTTATGCAGATGGAAGATAATTAAGCATTCTATAGTTTTGTATATTATATATTCATATATTACTTCAGAGACAAAATAGAAGTTTTAGTAAAACCAGATACAAACATTGCTATAAATATAAACATTGAATTAGGGACAAAGTCTCCCAAGAGACTGTGTTCTATGACTTTACTAGCCAGTTGGGTTACTTATTATTCTACTGCCATTCAACTCTGATGAGAGTAATACTACACTATATCTAATAGAATGAGATCTGTTCAAAATACTAGCTTAAGAAGTATAAAAAAAGAAACTATTTTAGGTTGTTTTCTTACTAATTGTGATGCTTTATTCATTGTAGTTGGGACAGGAAGAATAACCCAGAGCCTTGGAATAAACTGGGTCCCAATGAGCAGTATAAGGTAAAGTACAAAATTGTTTCAAAGAAATTGCAGGAAAGGATATCCTATTGTAACATTTGGCCATGTGGTAGTGTTTCTTGAAATGGGATATGTAGGTAAAAATCCCATTATAATGAAATTTGAAGAGCTCCTGCCCCATTGTCTGCATTTCAAATAAGCTTCAGGTGATGCTGATACTGGTCCCTAGACTGCAGTTTGAGTATCTCTGATCTGTTGGCTGGTTTGGTTGCCTGCTCCTTATTATTAGGGTTCAAGAATTTCAGGTGATGATTAATAGGAAGAAGTAAAAGTCATTTGAAAAATTTTGCCCTGAGCCTCCTAAACTTTTAACATCTTCTCCAAAGAGTGATCTACGTAACTACTCTTTGAAATAATGAATATGTGTACTGAGACACTATTGGCTTCTCAAAAATATCTTTTTTTTTTTCCCCTCTTTTTTGGGAGTGGGGTCTTTTTGAGACAGGGTCTTCCTGCAGCTCCAGCTGGCCTGGAACTCACTGTGTAGACCAGGCTGGCCTGGAACTCACAGAGATCTGCCTGCCTGGGCCTCCCAAATGCTGGGATTAAAGGCATGTGCACCATACCCGGTTTATAATTTGACTTTTAAAAAATTAAGCTGAGCTCCCTTCAAGAAACAACTAAAAATATACTCACCAAGCTGAGAAGTCTAAGAAATGATAGACATTCTGATTTATTATTTTTAAGAATTTAAGTACAGTTTATCTAGAAAAAAATATTTGTATCTAAGAAACATTAAAAAGAAAAACAGGATTTGGTCCTTTGACCGAAGAGCATATGGAGTATTGTGTATGTGTATTTCAAATGATTCTTATGATTGAGCCAGTTGGCACTGCCCTGGAATATAACACAGGCCAACATGAGGCCATGTGAACTGGAAATTAAATGTTACTGCATTAAAACCCTAATGTTTGTGGCTTAGCTTGGGCCTTCAGTAGTTATGACTGATAGTAAAGGTACAAATTGGAAGAGTCATGCTATATTGTAGTGGAAATGAGCTGAATTTAGGTATTTGTCAACCTGGAATAAATAAAGCCTACTTACAACTTCATCTCAACTCAAATAGTGAGGTCAACTAGGTGGTTGTCTCTGTCACCTAAGAGAATTTATTTATCTTACCCACTGGCATCATATTTAGCCATATGCCTTTCTCTGGCAAATCATGAGATCGGGGGAATACCTGCACTTTTGAACCATTCTATTTTGGGGCTGTTCTTTTCCATCTTCAGACTCAAATTGAGAGTTCAAGGTGGCTTATCAGACCAAAACTGGAATGAAGAGAGCTTGGAGTATTAGCCCTAGAAGTAGCAATGTGAATAAAAAATAAAAACATTGTGGTAAGCCACTATGATTTGAGGTGGCTATGATTAAAAAATGCCATGCATGTGGAGGCTTAAGCAACAAAAATTTATTTAGCACCGTTGTGGATCAGGGTGCCAGTCAATTCTGTCTCTGATGAAGATCCTCTTACTATGTTTTCTCAAGGAATAGAAAGGCACAAGCTCTGTTATGTTTCTCCATTGTATAAAAGAACCCGTAAGGTCATGGCAGCTCCATCCTCATGACCTAATTACTTTCAAAGGTTCAGTTTCTAAATATCATCACATTGGTGATTGGAATTTCAACAGAGGAATTTCAGGAGGACATGAATATTCAGTTCATAACAGAAGGTTTTTTGTTCCCAAAGCTAATAGAATAGCAAGAGATTGAATGAAGATAGGATTTAAGCATTAGGGGCCCAGCCTCACATCAGTGAATGAAATGCCAGAACGCTAGGTCATTTGGGAAGCTTTCAAGGTAGGTACTAGTGAGTTGAGAAAGAATTGGACATAGAAGTGGAAAAGCAAGGCTGATCTGAAAATTCCCATAGAGAATGTTAAGTACAAAGCAAAGACATCAAAACCTGTTAGCTTTGAGAAAATTGGCCAAAGATACCTTGAGCTGTCCACTCTTTGCACAGATTGGGGCTCAGTTGTGCTTTTTAATCAGTTTCGAGTAACTCATAACTTGATCTTCAGTTGGATTTTCTTTTTTATAAAGTAATGAGAATGAAAAGGATTGTGGTGATTAAGACAAACAACTAGGCCAGTGCCTGTCATCTCTTAGGTGTGTATTTTCTCCTTAATATGTACTATGCCTGCATTTCTATCTGTAATGTTGTAGTATTATGTTGACATATTAGCAAATAGCATATGCGGGGTTTTGTTGTTGCATTATCATGGTAAAGTGCTTAAGAGTTAGAGCAGAGTATTGCTGGTTTACTTGGAATTTTCTGTCTGTAAAACCTGGGGTCTGTGTGTGTATATATCTCAGGAAACACAGTAATAAGCTTTATAATTCAGAGATTTTTTTCTTCTTCAAGAATTAAATAAGGGATTGGAGGCATAGCTCAGTTTGTAGAGTGTTGCCTAGCTACAGCCCAGAGTTCAGTCCCTAGCAACCCACAAAACTGGGTGTGGAGGCAAATGCCTCTCATTCCAGCACTTGGGAAGTGGAGGCAGGAGGTTCAGAACTATAAGGCCATCCTTAGCCACATAGTGACTTTGAGGCCAGCCTAGGCTACATGAGACTGCATCTCTAAAAAATGAAATAAAAGAATCTTTGAATTGGAGATAAAGAAGATTATATGTTTGAAGGGAAAAAAGGGTTTCAAGAGACAACAGAAACAGATTTCTGAGCTCTGTGTCTGCGTATTTTCATATTTTTTCACAGTGCTGAGGACTGAACCCAGGGTCTTACAAGTGCTAGGCTAGTGCTTTGCCTTTCAGCTGCATCCCAACCCTGAAATTCTTAAATAATACAAAGTCTGGAGAAAATGCTCACAATGATGCTTTTGCAGGTAATTGCAGTTTCGAGTAATCATAGCATTACTTCCTCGGTGTTCTTTAGGACAAGGATGAGTAAAACTAGGATTATAGCCTTTCAATTTTTTCTTCAGTAGAAATTCCAGATCAGTTTCAAATGCACCATTTTTGGAAAGATTATTAGGAGTTAGACATTTTTAAATACTGTCACAGTAAAACTTATTTCTAAAGTTAATTTTAATTTTAAGTGAATTTTTTTTTTTTTTTTTGTCTTTTTGAGACAAGGTCTCCTGTAGCTGCAGCTGGCCTGGATTTGCTAATGGAGACCAAGCTGGCCTCGAACTCACAGAGATCCGCTTGCCTCTGCCTCCCGAGTGCAATTTTAACTATGTCAGGATTCAGAAATTAAGAAAATCTGAGCAAATGAGAGTGAGAGAGAGACAGAGAGACAGAGAGAGAGAGAGGACAACTCTTTATTCTTAAGAGAGAGAGGACAACTCTTTATTCTTATTTTCTGTTGGAGATTCAGAAATAAAATTTTGGAAAAAATTACAGAATTAAAAGTAGAATTATGTATCAGAAGAATCCCTAATTATTTGTGTTGAAATAGGATTGATATTTTAGGTCCTAACTAGTAGAGTATACTTAAACTTCCCTTCTGAGACATTAGATGATTTACCTCAACAAAACTATCAATAAACACTAGAATTTTACATACAATATTTTTCTGTAAATGACTTTTACACTCTTAAATATTTTCCTTTTTTCAGACAGGGTTTCACTGTGTAGCACTGACTGTCCTGGAACTTGCTATGTAGACAGGCTATCTTCAAAACGCACGACTCACGGAGATCTGCCTGTCTCTGCCTCCTGAATACTGGGATTTGTTAAATATTCATAATAAAATGCCTTTCTGTAATTTCTACTTTAGAAAATGGAGAAAAAAATATTCTAAAACTTATATGCATGTCTGAATGTGATTATCTAAAACATCGTCTTTCTTTTCAAGTTCTACTCAGTGAATGTGGACTACAGCAAACTGAAGAAAGAAGGTCCTGACTTCTAAGTCACGTATTTCATCATAAAGCTGCTTATAATGAAGGTCTTTCAGAAGCCATCCGCACAATTTTCCACTTAACCAGGAAATATTCTCCTCTTAAATGCATGACTCATGTTGATTACTTGGAGTTTATTACACTCATCAATAAATCTCTGAAACTTGATATGTGTCAAGTTTATTTAATGCTCCAAATCCATCCTGAACTTTATAGCCAGGATGTTGAAAATAAATGATTAGAATTTAAAGAATTTCTTCAATGTCTTTGTATATATACAATTGAAAATAAGATTATATGCTACTTTAATAAAACTTTTGTGTAGGCCATTGGTAACTTCATTAGAGACAGTGTTTAACAGTTGGAACCAGAAATCACACAGAAGGATATTGGGAAGAATATTCAAGCCTCTTTTAAATTGACCAAATGGAAATCTCTGGGTTTCTGTTACTGACACTGGTGTGTATTCTGCTTTTGTTGTTGGGGGGCATTGGATTCCCCTGAAACTGAGGTTATGGATGGTTTAACTGCCATGTGGGTGTTGGCAATTGAACTAGGGTCCTTTGCAAGAGGAGCCAGTGCTCTTAATCACTGAGCCATCTTTCCAGCCCGTGAATACAGTTTCTAACACACCTTTCCTCAGCATTATCTGTTATATTTTCAGGGTTATTGATTGTGTTGATGCTGGAATTATAGTTGGAATCTCACTTTGTCATTGCCATCCAGTAGGCAAAGGGCATTGAGAATTTCTGCGTAGTCTTGGTAGTATTTCAAAGGCCAGAAAGTCATCAATGACTTTTAAATTAGGCTACTGAGTTGAAATTAGGTTGGAGAAATGGCAAATGAGTGTTTTCATGTTTCTCAATACACAGCTCATGCCTTTTGGCTCAGTGAAATGACCCAATGAGCAAAAGATTTCAGTGGTGGCTAATCAAGTAACCATATATCCTATGTCAAATTTTCACAGAGGTATATGTTAGGCATCACATCATAGAAACTTAAGGAATTCAGTAAGCTAATTTTGATTAAGGTAATTAGAACATAAAGCCATTCCAAATAAGTGAACCATTAATTGAATTTTCTAGTATTAGGACATGAATCTGGACTGGAGAGATGACTCAGTGGCTAGGAGCACTGGCTGCTTTTCCAAAGGACCCAGGTTCAGATCTTAGCACCCACATGGCAGCTAACAACTGTCTGTAACTCCAGTTCCAGGGGATCTGACAACCTCTTCTGACCTCCATGGGCATTGCACGACATGAGTGTGCTTACATACATGCAGGGAATAAAACACATAAAAATAAGACATGGATCTGCAGTGATTTTTTAAAATAATGCATTTGGTATGTTTGGAAAATTGCAGTTTCATATCTTGCAAATACATGTGAAATTATACTAAATTTGATTTCTTTCTAGTAACTCATCAGATTTTACTCCTATCATTCCACTAAAAATGCTTCATCAGTGTTTCCTAATTCAAGCCAATTGTCAGTTTTCATGTTGACAGAACAATATACAGTTCTTGCCTGAAGCATTTTCTTTTGGCCTCTGGAACACATGCTTTTTCCTCCTATGACATTGTCTTCAATCTCTTGCTAGCCCCCTTCATCTTGACCTAATGGTGGACTGTCTGACCTAAAGGACAAACTTTGGACCTTTCACTGTGCACTCTTCATCCAGTCTCATGTCTTCAAATGTCATGCTTTGGATGGTTGAAGTAGTTTATCAGGTCTTCTGTATTCTACTGCTTTATCTGCTTTGAGTCTAATTCATCTGAACTTGAACATGTCTGATTCTGAACTTGTAAACATCGCAGTTTTCATATCTTAAAACAGCATATCTGCCTATCGTTTGTTCTTAGTACAGTCTGTTTTGTACTGGCACTGTGGGATGCCGCAGACTAATTCATAGTAGCAATGTGTTAGCTCCTGTACTGGGAGCTAAGACAGGCCAGACCTCTGGTAAGGACCTTCTTGCTATGTCATTTGTAGGAGAGGGGCAAAGAAAAGATGAGAGCAAGTGAGGTCTGATTGGGCTTTTATAGCATCTGCTTGAGATCGTGAACGTGCTGCACTAAAACATTAATTCATTGATGAGTATAGCACTCTTATGACCTAATCACCTCTTAAAGGCCCTCTCTTGAAACTTGGCATTTGTGAAAGTGTCCAGCAAACCTTGTGGGCATATTCAGCCTATAAGTATGCCTATTTTTAACCCAATTCCAGCACTAAGACCTTACTTAGTCTTAGTCTTAAACCAGTCATCTGACCTGGATTGTTAAAATAGCCTCTTGGCTTGCCTCCCTGTATAGAATGTCTTAGCATAGCCGGAGTTGGAATCTGACCTTCCTCTGCTTAACACCTACAATCTACTCATTTTACTCAATGTGAAATACAAAAAAAAAAAAAAAAAAAATCCAGTAAGGCCCTACAGAATCTGCCATCTGCCTGTTACCAATAACCTTGTGACCTCACTTTCTAGCCCTTTGCACTCTGCTCACACATTCCCACCAAGCACACTTTTGATCTGCACACAAACATGCTCTGCTTGACATTTTCTTGCCAAACACTATCAATGCTAAATCTTACTTCTTTAATCTCCCCACTTCCCTCCTCCCTCCTTTTTTTTCCTTTTTTGTTTCATCCTTCTTCCTCTCCCTTTCTCCTCTTCCTTTTCCCTTCCCCACCCACCATTCCTTTTTCTTCCGTTTTTTGAATCAGGTTCTCCCCCAGTTGTCCAGACTGGCCTCAACTCCCAGACTCAAGTGATCCTCCTTTCTCAGCCTTTTGTGTATGTGTCACCATGCCTGGCTCAGTGTCACCATTTTACAAGCTCTTGTGGAAGACATTACACCCTACCTCACTTTAATCATTGTCTCCCTTTTTATTTTGCAGCTCATTAAAATACATTTTTATATAATTAGCTTACTTTGACATATCTTACACTCTAAAAGTGAACTCCATGAGGTTTAAGTATTTTTGTCTATTTTTTAAGCTCTCTCAGTTAAGATAGTAAATAGTTGGAGTTCAATAGTGTTGAATAAATCACTGGTTCACCACGTTTTAGAATGAAGTGTTCTGTTTCAGTGGCTACAAATGATTCTTGACTGTACCTGTTGATACAGAGAATTTTTTTTTTTTTTTTGTCTTTGAGACAGGGTCTCCCTGTAGCCACAGCTGGCCTGGATTCACTATGTAGACCAAGCTGGCCTTGAACTCAGAGATCCTCCTACCTCTGCCTCCCAAGTGCTGGGATCAAAGGTATGCGCCACCACACCTGGCGATACAGAGAATCTTAGTTGGAGATGGTACAAGGTCATTTTTATTCCCCTGCCACTCAGTTGATCATTTTTAAACAGCTTTTTTTTCTCTCCCCAATAGAGCATTAGTTTTTCCCTAAGAATGTTTCTTATCCTGGA